GTGATATGAAACATTGAAAATATAACACTTCACACTTACACTGCTTACGATGCTTGCTTCTGGGTGGTCTTCCAACAACATGAAATGGCAAAATTTCTTGCCGTGCTGAAATACGGATACTAGTACCACTACCTTCTATTTTAGCTGCAATGAGTAATAAACTACATCTGTAAATATCCCATTATAATACCAAGATGATTAAATAAGAAAATAAACGAAAGTTCAAGTTTTGAACATACCAGGAAAATGCATATTGAGGCCGAAGAGTAGCAAGTAAATCAAAAAGATGGTTGCAAAGAGAAACATCCAGAGCCAGAATTTGTGTCTGACAAATCGACCCAACCTTCTTCCTTTACGAACAAGGCGAGTGCCATGCTCACTTGGACCAAAAGATTTCAACAACGCCCCTATTATACCTCTAGTCCCCATCTCGGGTAACCACAATTCTATCTCTACCGTCGTCTGTAGAGACCCATCATCATAATCTTACATGCATTTTCTCAAACAGGAAACTAACAACATAAGAGAACTGCTTCCATGGCGTGGCGGGTTTACCTGATCGGAGATCTAACGGTAAGGGAGTGGTGAAGTGGGAAAGCGATGGGAAGATGAAGATCTATCATCGTTGATAGTGGCCCGAGTTTCCATGGGAGTTCAATAATGAGCGTAACATTTTTCTTTTCTGTCCCCTGCAATTTTCACCCATCTCAGGCTGTCTGGAAATTACCAGCTACCAATATTTTTACCGACCCAAATGGTAAGAAGATAAGGAGTGATTTTTCACCCCCTATTTTATCCTTTTTATACTCTTTTTTTTTTTTTTTTTTTTTTCCCAAAATACAATTTTAACTTACTTACTACGAAAATAGACAAGGCATTGAAAACAAATCTCCTTTATTTAATTAGGAAATCCCTTGCTCTAGTGTCTACACTAAACTAGATGCTAGCGAGGAAAATGAAAACTAACTTACCTTACCTGAGCCTCCATGAAATCGAATGGAGCAGCAGCGGGTCTTGTTGCTCCGCTACCGGTAGACTGATTGGATCCGTCCGTACCCAACCTCAACCTCCCTCATCTGCCTGCCTGCAGAGCTTCAAATCAAACAGGGCTGGGTTCTGGCGGCGGTAGAAATTTGATTTTTAATACAGGTTTTGCATTATGATTTCTAATTACTATCTCAGGTTTCATTTCTAAATCCGATTTTCAAGCTCTCTCTCTGTCTCAGTGACTCAGTGAGTTGGTATCAAAGTCTAGTTTCTAGTTTCTAGTTTTATTGGGCTCTGGACAAAGCTAACCCATTTCGATACTTGTTGGGCTCAGTAGTTAAGTAGTCTTTAGGCCTTCTTTGTACAAGATTTCAATCCATATCATGTCAAGCCTGCTTCTTTTCACTGTCTGAGTCTGAGGCTACTTTTGCTGGAGCTTCTCTTGGGCTTTATTGGTCATTTAATTTATTTTAGGGTCAACAACCAAATACCCAATATTCAAACGGATACCCAGATTGCTTAAAACTAAAGACTCTCTCTCAAACTCAAACACATCCAATGCTTCCTCCACCTCCTCCTCATCAAACAATTTTGAAACCAACAACCAACCCTATCTCGAATATTTTATAGTTGTTGTGCATCTATCATATAATATCCTTTGTTGCAAACATAAACTGATGGGTTGGTGGTAATTCAGAGATAAGGTTGTGATTTTTGGTAGGTTTAATTACACCAATGCTCTTTGAAACTTCAGTCAAATCTCATTTTACTCTTCAACCTCACGTGGTATGGGTGTTTTTATAATTTCGTACACATGACTCATTATTCACCAATTAAATGGGTGACAGTTGCAAGTGGAGCCCACATTCACATAGATAAAAGTATAATTAAATATTCTAACAATTAAAAATTAAAATAAAACTGAAAAAATTACGTTTGAAAAAAAAACACTAAAATTACAACCCTCCACCACTAGCCCTCCCTCGATTCTCCACTCTCCCCACATTCATGTCTCGCGCCCCTTACCGCTACCAACCCCTATCCAAAGAACCAAAACATAAATTAGCCACAATAACAAGAACAACAAATTTGTAACTCCATAGGCAAATTTTTAACTATTGTCGCTTTAATGTAACAATATAGCTGGATGGCCATCCCTTAGGGCATCCACAGTGGGGGGTGTATGTTAAATATACACTCCGAGTCACCAGAATGGTTTCCAATGAGGAGATGTAAATAGATGTAAAAATCCTAGTATCCAAAATTACCATTTTGCCCCTTGAAGTATTTTGACCGTATTTTCTTGGTTATAATTCCAATTTGAGCCCACTACGTGTCTAGGAACTCGTTTCGTCGCACTCTACGCAACGGTGCAAACGAAATTTCCAAATTCGTCTCCGGTTAAAAAGTCAACTTATCATTTACTAAAATAGTCTAAGGGCAAAAGTGTCATTTTCCCTTAATAAACTAATAGTTAAATATTAATTAAGGTTTGGGTTATTACATATCATCATTTCAAAGTCCCCACATTGTATTTAAATGATCCGAACCTTCTAATTTTTAGATATTCCCTCATATATTATTTATGCAAAAAATCACTTGAACCCAAAATCATTTGACCACTCAATTCAATGGGTTCATCATGCCAGTTAGTCATCCATTGCAAATGAAATTTGTTATTCAAGTCATGCCATAAAAAAAAAAAATCAACATATCATGAGTTTTTTCACTCCACTAATTTGGAGTTAACGAAAGGCAAGTGGGTCACGGTGTATTTTGCAAAATGTTTTTAAAACCTTAAATCATTTATATGCAATTCAATTTTTTTTTGGGTAGTAATATGCAATTCTATAATTAAAAGCTACTTTATCGTCAAAAGTTCGCCTGGCTTTTTTTCCTCACTGGACATGTTTTTAGTTATTCACCACATTTTAAATATTCAAACAAACATAAATAATGATAACTAGTCTCTCTGCACGCGCTTCCGTGCCAGCGAGAGACTTTTAAAATATATATATATTTATTTTAGAATTAAAAAAGATAATGGGTAGTTGTGTTTCATAAAAATATGATCCATTATCTTATTTTTCTTTTAATATTAATTTTTTTTTAAAAGATAATGGGTAGTTGTGAATTTATCATATTATCCTTATTTAATTAATAATTTCAATTCTTAACGCTTGCATTAACCATAGACATTTTTTGGTATTTTGAATGTTTCACAATTCTCTGCCTTTTGCTTTATATATATAGATAAACAAACAAAAATGTTTTTCAATTGAGGAAACCTTTTCGCCAAATTATTTTGTATTGTACAAATAAAAAAATAATGAAAATCGTACAACAACCAATAAAGAGCATAATTAGCAAGGTTTTATTTTAACTCACTGGTTGCTTGAAAGATTGGATGTTAGCAAGCAGCAGAGTTTTCATGCATATTTGGATCAATGTCACATATTAATGATGATATATAAAATGATGATATATATTATGTTTTTCTTTTGTTTGCACCCAACTTTATTACTTTATTTTCTTTTTCCAATTTTAAAAGCATTTACAATTATGCTCCATATTTTTTAGTTAAAGTTTAACTAAAAACACACCAAAGCTATTTTAGAAGCTCTCTATAAAATTTGAACTCCAATCATACTCTCTAGTTTAGGGAGTCATAAATATTATAATTATTTTTAATTCAATATAATTGGTCAATCTCTATAAATAAATATATATATATATATATTAAAAAATAGTCAGCATTAATTAAAAGTTTAAAATATGCATAAAACAAAGTAGTATTAAATTATAGGTAGCCACTAGGAGTCATTTCTATCTCCTTATATTTAGGAGCTTCTAGAGATCTCTCTATTTTAGGATGTGGATAGGGGGCATGGTTGGAATTGCATTTTTCCAATTCCTAGTTTAAGGAGATGATTTAGGGAGCCCATTGTAACTGCTCTAACTCATTGTAAAAAGTGTAACTCCAAATACAAGACAAATTATGTATGCAAATATAAATAACATATCCTATTCATATCCATTTAAATACTTGAGTACTTTTTTTATGCACTTGCTTTAAGATACAAATAATTAAACAATATTAAAAGAAAATAATCGCTAAAACAAAAATTTGAAGGGAGAAAAACCAAGATACATTGTGTTGTGCATGCATAAAACATTTTCCGACATAAACATTAAAGAATATATCTTGTAAGAGCATTTCCAGCGGTGAGTTCAGCCCATGCAAAAGGCCCTCTAGGCTTCCAAAACTAGCTCCGACGGTGAATTCCTACCATGGCAACACATGGGGTCCATCAAGCCTGGACAAGGTCCAATGCAAGATCAGCTCAACCTCCTGCCTTGAGGGTGATGACGCTAGTGAATAACAAAATTGAAAAAAATTCAGATTTAAAAAACAAATACATAGCAGTTTTATATTTATTAATCTCATACATATAAATAAAATTAATCTTATGTGAATAGTAAGTGTCATTAAGTTGATATGGCAATGGGTTTAGCCAAAAATAATTACTAGAGCATATACTATTCACACTATTCACATGAATAGTAACAATTCTTACTTGACTTTGTCCTTTGCCATAGTAAATAAGTGAAAATGCTCTAAGCGTTAATTTTATCAATAGTTGAACACCCAACCCAACATGGAAAATATATGTATGTGACATGTGGTAATTGCTTGCATGTGACAAACCAGAACAACAACCAAAAAAATAGTTGTGAAATAACAACAAATAATTTTAGCCTATTTATTTAATATATATATTAATTTGTATTTTCAAGTGGAAAACAATTTTCGAGAACAAAAATAGTGAAAAATATATATGTGATTTAAAGACGTGAAATTCGTTTTGATTAATAAATTATGTATAAAAAAAACCCATCTGTGGATTGGGCCAAACCGAACTGTGGCTGGGTCGTTGGTGAAAATTATTCCCTCCGCGGAGCGGATAGTAGAATCGAGACGCAGCGTTTTGGTTGGTCAAAACGTAGGACGGGGATACGACGTCGTAACTGCAAAATGAGTTTCTTCAGCACGGAGACTGCTCTCTGAAAAAGTGATTTGTGGCTGCGCTGCGCGAGCTGCGAAAGACAAGAATAACAATGGCGACGGAGCTGGAGGAACTAGTGGGATTTCTATCTTCTCCATCTCCAACAGTAAGTAATCTTCACACTTGATCAAACCCAACCCAGTTTACTAATCCTACTTGCTTAGTAATTAAAATAAAAAAAGCTGGTTTTTATTTTTAGAATTTTAATTAGTTTAAGGGAATTACATGTAACGTACTTGTCGTCTCTTTGATTTGATGGTAACTGTTTATTTTTTATTTATTATAATTAAGGTGACGAAGGCAGCTGTTGATATCGTTCGGGGACTAACCGGGTCTGAAGATGGCTTGCAGTCTCTTGCCAATTATGCAAAGATTCTGCTGCCTTCATTGGCTCGCCTCTTAGCTGGAAAGAAGGTGCTTAATTAGCATGGAAGTTCCTCTTGACAACTTTTATTTATTTATTTATTTCCTGTGCTCGTTTATAAAATTCTTCAATTTGATGTTTACAAAGTAATGCAAATAGAGCAACTGAGTTTACGTTTTTGATTCTATAAGCACTGTGCAGCAGGCTAACTGGTTCTCACGATTCTCTGGTCTGATGGGTATTTATTTGGAAATATAAAAATTGGTTTTACATCATGTCTCAGGAGGTCTCAGAACCTGCAGCAGAAGCTCTTGTTAATCTTTCACAAAATTCAGGTCTAGCAGCAAAGATGGTTGAAATGGGAATGATTAACGCAGCTATGGACATTTTATATAAGCCAGATTCTAGTATTGGCCGATTGTTGGCTATGCTTTTAGTTAATCTCACACAGTTGGATGTTGGTGTTGCTTCTTTACTGCAGGTGTGACATTTTTCTTACTTCATCTTATGATTATCAAATCCCCTGGAAACATTGTTGGAGAAATTGCACTCTTAACAAGCATTTTCGTTTTTTTTTTTTGGTTTTTTGAAAAAAGGCAGAGTTTTGTTTATTTATCTATGTACATCCATCAATAAAGAAATAAAATATTTTTTCATGTTTTGGTCACATGACGATTGTACTTTTTTTGTGCTTTGTCCTTGAAAGATTAGTTAGTAACAGTTTGAATTATATATATTTGCTAGACTGGAGAAGAGAAGATGCAAGGGCTCTATGTTATGAAGCTTGTGAGATCATTTTGTAGATCCTCTGATGAAGCTAGAGGTGTGTTTTCAATTTTGAAATTGATTTGTTTTGACTTACACAAAGATGTAATCTTAATGCCTAATTTTGAAAACTGGTAATTCTTCTACTCAGTACATGGTGGAGAAGCATAAAAGTTAAGTTTGCATTGTTGTTCCTCTAGATCATTTTAGGTTCCCCGAGGTCACCATCAATGGGTGGTTTCAGCCAACTAATCTCTGAGTTTCTTGTAAAATCCTTGATTGTGACATTTATTTCTTTTTTCTGGTGACATAAGTGCCTTTAGTTGGCCAAATGTCTCTTTGGTGATCCAAGATCACATGATTACTATGATTGTTCTTGACAGAGTTCAGAAATACACAAGTTCTAGCTCTATAAACGTATAATTTTCATGTTGATTCTTGTTTGCAGTCTCCAATATTAGCATGCTTTGCTCACTACATTTTTTTGTTGCACATGTATCAGAAGATCCATTTGAACATGTTGGTTCCGTACTTGTAAACATCTCAAAGCAGGAAGCAGGCAGGAAGCTTTTACTGGACCCTAGGCGAGGGCTTTTAAAGCAGATTATTAGGCAGTTCGACTCTTCTAGTCCTTTAAGAAGGAAGGGGGTATGTACAATAAATCACCACAAAGGAGCAAGATAAGGGCTCTTCTTTGTTGTTTATTCTATATTTCACCTTTGATTGTCATCAGTTAGTAACAAAAGTAGGTAACCAATGCTTTGGCTTAAGTTGTTAGCAGCCAAGCAAAAGATGAACTAGGTCTCATACAAATTAGAGGATAATTATTTGAGAAGGTCCTTAAACAAAATGTTAATTTACTAATTTTATGTAATCATGCTTTACAGTCTGGACCTTAAAAAAAAAAAGCTTTACAATCTGGACATTTATGAGCTATCAGTTAGATTTTCTGGATGAGTTTTCAGTCTTCCAGCTATCAAGCACAGCTTACTCTGGTCAAGGTTGAGCAGCAAAGCTGGGGCCAATCTAACCAAGGGAAGCTTAGTTAGTCACTGCTTACTTATGTTAATGAGATATTTGTTTGCTTTTAGGTTTCTGGAACTATTCGCAACTGTTGTTTTGAAGCTGAGAGTCAGCTTCAGAATTTGCTTTTGATTTCAGAGTTTCTCTGGCCAGCTCTGCTTCTGCCAGTTGCTGGTAACAAGGTAAACATTCAGCATCTTCTTGACTTTTGAGACTTTCATATGTTTGTCTCTCTACTATCCTACACTTTTTTTTTGGATTCATTTTGTATTGATCTGGTAAGTTTTGCCCAGATTTATAGTGAACAGGATAGATCTAAAATGCCACTTGAGCTTGGGAGTGCTCTCTCAATTGAGCGTGAACCAGTTGATGATCCTGAAATTCGTGTTCAAGCACTGGAGGCAATATACTTAATCTCGTTACAGGTCAAATGAGTAACTTTTTTTCTTTATGGGTACACTATTTTATTTGTCCTCCTTTCTCTTTATCTTTGTTGTAGTTTTATTCTCTTATTGGCAATATTTATAGTTTCTTCACAACCTTTAACCACATGTATGGTTCTATCGCCTTCCAGGAGGCAGGTATAAGAGCCTTTTGGTCTGTCAATGGACCGAGAATAATACAAGTCGGTTATGAAGATGAGGAAGATCCTAAAGTAATGGGAGCATATGAGCAACTTGGCTCCATGGTATGTTAAAATTTCTACCCTCACACATAGACATAGACATTTTTTTCTCATTGCGGCTTCTTCTTCCTCTACTTCATATTCTATCATATATCATGTGCTTTTTCCTGTGACAACTAATATTACTGCCATCACTGTTTTACCAGTTGATTAATAGCAGCGGGACGGAGGAACCAACAACAGAGACATCGAATTAGCAACACCGATGTTCATTCATTTGATCAAGCAGATCTTCCACAAGCAATTTTCAGCTGGTTTGGAATGGAGCATGTGATTGAGGGATTGAAATCTGAATTGTTGTTAGTCTTGGAGATAGGGATATTGAAATAGATTTACATGGTAGTTTCATTTGTTGTTATGTAAACCCTCTGCTTTTTTTCCGAATCTCTCAAGTTGGCAAATCAAATCTTTTACTTTTACATAGATTAGTCACCGGCTCAAGGTGGCCAACAATTTAAATCTTGAATCCACAATTCGTTTCGTGCCACTGCCTGCCAGGCTTATCAAATGGCATTTAATCAATTAATTTTTTTTTTTTCACTGAATAAATTTGACCAAACACGCCATAAAAATTTGGTCCAGCTATGATTAGCTTCACCCACCAACTGATTATGCCACCAAAAAATATTTATCACTTCCTGCAATAATATATATATATATATATATATAAAGAACTTCATTTAGGGATTTTTCAAATAACTTATTTGAGAGACACTTTTGTAAGGCCCGTTTCGCATTGTATTTCACTAATCTAAACTGTCTATTTTGTAGATATTCATTCAGAAATATTTCTATAAAAAATCACTTGAATACGATATCATTTGACCACTCAATTATATTATTGAAATTCAAGTACTTTCTTAAAGCACTGTGTTCATTGATTTTGTTGGTCTCAATTAAATGCCTTAATAAATTTCAATTTGCACAATTTTTTGCAAGGATGATATTTGAATCAATATGTGAAAATAGATTGTTTGGATCGTTATTTATTTATTTATTTTGGTAGAGGATCTAAAGGGTGTTTTTTAAATAAAATTATTTGAGGAATCCTTTAATAAAAATGGAATATATATACATATATAAACTATCAGTCCCCTTCTATTGAGGAATCCCTCAAATAATTTTATTTGAGGGACGCCCTTTAGGGTACCCTACAATTTTTTTTCCAATGATCCAAACCATCTATTTTTTAGGTAGATCCTCGCAAAAATATTAGACAAATTGGAAACCGTTTCGACATCCAATTGTGTTCTACAAAATCAATAATCACGGTGCTTCAAGAAAGTACTAAAATTTTAATAACTCAATTGAATGATCAAATGATATCGGATTCAAGTGATTTTTTGCAGAGATGATCTTTGAATGTGTATCTACAAAATAGACGGTTTGGATTAGTGAAATACAATCCGGAGCGGGCCCTACAAGGGGTGTCCCTCAAATAAGCTTATTTGAGGGATCCCTCAATGGAAGCTCTCTGTATAAACTATACTCTAAAATGAAATTGCTATTTATGGATCACCCTACAAAATATCATTTTATACAAAATTTACGAATATTAATGTACCCCTACCCGGGAAATCTCGTTTAGCAATTTACAAAATCAGCGGGCACGTGATCTTTAATTTCGCAGCGGCGCCAAAAACTACCCGGGAAATCCAGTGTAATCTTTTAAGCGCGAAAACTACCGATTTCATCTCCCGCCATTTCAAGTGCTCAAATGACAACGCCAATGCCAAACCCACTCCTCTCTCACTCACACTCTCTCTTTCCTCCAAAACCCGACAAACAGTGAGTGCCCATCTCAAGAAAGATGGATCTCTCAGACATAGCAAGGAAGCTTGACCTCTCCGACTCCAAGCACGTCATCCGCAGAGCCGCCGAGCTCCGCCGTCTCTGTGACATCCAGTTTGACTCTTCTATAATCGGCGTCGTAAGTTTCATTCGAACCCCAAATCCTTGTTTGATTGATTTATCGAATTGGGTATTTATCAAGTTGCTTATGATTTGCAGGGTGAGGTATGCAAAGCTGTGATTTGCTTAGAAATCGCCGCAACAAGGTAAACGAAAACAAAAATTTTTTTTTTTTGCATAGTCTCTTGCGTGCGTTTTAAGATTCATATTGGGTCTTTGTGGTTGTAATTCTTTTGGGTTGAATGGGTTATAGATCGGGGCTTCTGTTCGATCGGCAAAAAGCGATAAGGTTGAGTGGGATGTCTGAAAAGGCTTACACCAGATCCTACAATTCCATGCAGAACGGTCTTGGGGTCAAGTGGGTTTTCGTTTTCTCATTTGCTTTGTTCCAATTTTTATGCCATTTTTGGTTTAGTGGATTCTGATTGTTCGATTGGATTGTATATTGTGGTGGTGTAGGAACAAGCTGGATGTTAGAGAACTGGCAATTCAGTTTGGGTGCGTTAGGATCATCCCCTTTGTGCAGAAGGGTTTGTCTCTGTAAGATTCAATTTCCTTTCCACGATGCAAATTCAATCTCTTTTGTTTTTCTGCATGGGACTGCCATATTACATGTTAGATGTTCGACAAAATGCTTCTTAACATCAAGTTTTGTTGGCTTAGCATGCCTTTGGATAATTTAGTTATTATGGATGCTGTCTGGTCCCAGAGGATTAAACAATTTTAAGTAGAGACCCTTTGGACAAGACAAATTTCTTTGCCTGATATTTTAGTGGTTAGGGATGTTGTTTGGTAAATGGCTTGATTCTGAGTATGAATTTCTTGTACTCTTATATTTCAGTTACAGGAGTCGGTTTCTTGCATCACTGCCAGCGTCTCGGCGGGCAAGTGCTGACTTCACTCGACCTGTCTTCATTGCCGTGGCATTCTACTTGTGTGCCAAAAAACACAAGGTATCCCATGATTGATCCCTCTCACTTGATTCAGGGACAAAAAAACAGAGGCTTCCATCCCTTAGTTTTCACTAATTACATTGTCATATCCTGTATGTTTGCAGCTAAAGGTAGACAAACTTAAGTTGATTGAGCTCTGTGGTGCATCTGAATCTGAATTCTCTTCGGTAAGATACAAACTTTCTTACTATGCAATAGTCCCTCCTGTTGCCAATCATAATTTCTTTCTATCTTTCATTGTATATTTCTATCTTATTTGACAACTTCTTTCGCAGGTTTCTACTTCCATGAAGGACTTGTGCTTTGATATTTGTGGGATTGAAAAGGAAAAGAAAGATCCCAAGGATGTCAAGGGAAATCGAGGTTGGTGTCTGCTGCTGATTTTATGTTTTAACTTTGCCATGGAGCAGAACTTTTGAGATTTTTTCAGCCCTTAGAATTTTGGTTTTTCAGACAACTTCCAACGTTATATGTGTTTATTATTTGCGTGCAGAACTTCTAGATGTTTTGCCAGAGAAAAGAAAACTTGAGGATGGTGGTTATTCATCTGATGAAGGAGCTGAGGTACTAAAAGCTAATTCTGATTCTATTTGTTCCTTAAAACTCATTACGTTTGTTGGCAAAACATAAATTCAAAGATTTGGATATAGTGAAATGTAACATTGTAACTGTTTGATGCACTTGCAGCCTTCAAGTTACAAGAAGCACAAAAAGATGGAAAAGCACGCCTATGAGGGTTGGAAAACCAGTGTCATTGCATCAAATAACCAAACCAAGGCAAAAGGTTTTGAAGGCAATTCCTTTATCTTTTTCACACTGCACCAATGCACATTGAGATAGAAGAACCTAACCATGTGTGTTTGCTTTTTCTCAGTTCTTTGCAAGCCCACCAGACAAACTCGGCTAGACTTTCTCAAGGACGTACCCGATACCCAGAACTTGAAGGCTGTATAGGACGACATCTGAAACTAAACTTATCAATATCCAAAGAAATCATATGCAAACTTTGAGTGAAATGTATTAAAAGTACCAAAACTTCAGCCATGAATATATGATGAGGTGCTGTGTTTTGGGCTGGGCTGATATGTTCTTAACTGGATCTCAATTGCTTGTTTGCAACGTTCTTTTATGAAAATACCCCCAAAAAAAGATGAATTTTTAAATAAAAAACTTGTAGTCCTCACCGGCTATTGCGCAAGTCTTCTTATTGACACGTGCGGAGGGCACTTTGGACTTTTTACGCTTCGGGTCGAATTGTCGGCTTAGAAACGGTAGAAAAATTTTCCAGTCAAACCCGGTGTCCTTTTTTGTCCGTCCCACAGAAAGGCAAACCCTGAAACAAAAAAGTAGGTCCCCAGTTTTATTCCCGTGCGGACACAACCTGCCACGCATCCTTTCCAAATGGGCTGCTTAACGTTGTAAAAACTCCTACGAAATAGGGGACCGACGCCAGTTCTTTCCGCAAAGAGGCCACGTAGCAAGTTCACGTCCACAAATGTGAAATCACAAACACCAAAATAAACCTCCACAAACGATACGAGAGTTTGAATATTCTCTCTCTCTCTCTCTCTCTCTCTCTCTCTCTCTCTCGCACATTGATTTCAACGAGTATAACGAGCCTGCTCCCATTTTAAAAATCCAAACTTGACCCACTTCTTCTTCAACGATTGATAAATATTATCTCAAAATTTCATTTTTAAAACTCTATATTCCAACCAACGTCAATAATAGTGGGAAAGGCCTATTTTAGTTAGGGTTAGGTTTCTCTTCTCCTATTTAGGATTTTGGGTTACTTGGGGAAAATCATCCTATCTCATGCAAATTTCGATTCTTGGGTTCCCTTTTTGATCATCGTTTTTCCTTTTTCAAAGATGGGATTTGAGGTTTCTGATGAGCTATTGGGAACTTTCGTCCCAGTTTTGATATATTGGGCATACTCGGGGATTTATGTGGCTCTGGATTCGTTTGAGAACTACCGGCTTCACACGAGGAAAGACGAAGATGAGAAGAATTTGGTGTCCAAGAGAACGGTGGTCAAAGGGGTTCTTCTTCAGCAAACCATTCAGGCTATTGTTGCTATCCTCCTGTTTACGGTATCACTTCATTTTTTTTCTCTTTCATTTCACATGAAGATTAAAATTTGGTCAATGATCGAGAATCTTCTTAGCTTCAGCTAACATATTGATTTATGAATTGTGCAAGATTAGTTGTTTTGTGGGTAATTATTACTGTTTGTGGTAGTGAATTCCGATGAAGAAAATTGGGGCTAAAATTCTGTTGATTTTGCATATAAATTTCTCCGTGAAATGAATTTGTGTTTTCAGTGTGTTATTTCTGTGGTATGATAATTGTAGTATGCAGGCTACTAAACCTTCTGCCTACTTGTATAACATCTTGAATTTTCATATATGGTTAGAACAATGGTTGGCAATTTGATGATTACAGGAGTTCCTGCGGTTTTTTGATGTTGTGTGATTAATATATTATCACCTTCATAATTCTTATCCTCTTCTTGTTATATGTTATTGGGTGATCCATAACTTATCTAATTAACTAAGTTTCAGCTTTTAGTGGTCCATTGTATTTATCCTAATCCTTTAGTGATCCTGATCCTAAATTTATCTAAATACCTAAGCTTTACTGTCGAAGTCGTTTGAATTTTCAAGTGAGCGACTTGCTCGTTAATTCTGAGCTTCTTTCATTTTTTTGTTTCCATATGAGGAAACTGTTACATGATTATAGAAAATTGGGCTGCTTAAGTCAGTTAGAGGACAGGTCAACCAGAAGTACTCAAGCTGTGTCCACCTTCAGGCAATGAAAGGAAAATATTTGCAATGGATTCTGCATTTTTTCTTCACTTGCTTTTGATTCTACCTTGGATGTAGCTTTGTTCAGAAAGGCTTAGGTGAACTTTCATTTTATTTAAGCCCCAATTGATATATGAAGGCGAGTCGTTACTGTAATTGTCTCATTGATTTGGGGATAATGTCATGGCAATTTTGTTTTCATTCGCCGCACCCTGCCATCAGCTGTTTTTCATTTCCAGCCCCCTACTCGAGTGTTCTGATTGTTACATTGGTTGAGAAAATTCAGACCTGATGCATCATCTATGATATGCTTATGCATGCTTGATGGTTTTGACATATGTGTCTTATGACTTCTTTTTAATGTACTTTGTTATTGTATAGGTGACGGGAAATGATGATGGGGATTCAGGTGTAAAGCCTTCTTTCATTGATCTAGCAAGACAGTTTGTTACTGCAATGATTGTTTTGGATACCTGGCAATACTTTATGCACAGATACATGCATCACAACAAGTTCTTATACAAACACATCCATTCCCAACATCACCGGCTTGTTGTGCCCTATGCATTTGGAGCTCTGTACAATCACCCTGTGGAGGGACTTCTTCTTGACACAATTGGTGGAGCCTTATCTTTTCTCCTCTCTGGCATGTCTCCTAGAGCCTCCATATTCTTCTTCTCCTTTGCCACCATCAAAACCGTAGACGACCATTGTGGATTATGGCTTCCGGGGAACCTGTTCCATGTATTTTTCAGTAATAATACTGCTTACCATGATGTCCACCACCAGCTCTATGGAAGCAAGTACAACTTCTCCCAGCCGTTCTTTGTTATGTGGGATAGGATACTTGGTACCCATATGCCTTACTCATTAGAGAAGAGAGCAGGTGGGGGATTTGAAGTGCAGCCTAAGAAAGTAGACAAGGAGAATTGATTCTTGCTTGAGGAAACACGAATCTATATTGATTGTACCAGTATTAGGGAACCTCACTGCTTGCATAGTTTGTTGTATATACATATATATTGTTGTGCCTTATTCTTTTGTTTTCTTCTTCGAATGAGTTTTAAAACTTAGTTGTGGAATTGAGAATTCATGTATCGAGATAAAATCTGACAGCAGCTTCAATTTGGTTTGAGCATCTGATATGGAGCAACTGTTATGGGGGCTTGCTTGCTCATTTAGTCTCATTTTCACTAGATTGTTTTCCAATTCCTGTTCATGCTGCAATGATCAACATTCTGGTGGTGTCGTATTATTCGATCTCTGTTAATAAACTCTCTGGTTTTTTGGTTTAAAGCTCGATAATTTACTAGGGAAATGGTTATTTTGTTTACGGATAAACTATAATTATCAGCTTAATCAACTAGAGATTTTGTGTGAAAAGCTCGCTCTCTAGAAAATTTTCACCACCATACATACCTTTTAAAGTTTGATTGTTAGTTGAAAATTCTTGCTGATATTATGGATCCAAAAGGGACTTCACTTTTTTTTACCATTATTCTTACAAGAACCGCACCTCTCGGCACGATTTCTGAGTGGTTCCCAATCATTATCGTCAACATGTGTGTGATACTTGAATTATAATGCATGTGTATATGCCCTACCTAACAAGAGAGTTGAGTTTGCCATTTGAAGCGTACACTTGATCTGCTATTCTAACCACAGAAAGCTTCCTCCAGCTACAAATTCGACCGAACCCAATTCGACTCACTTGTGTTGTGTGTTTAAGATTTGTCATGCATGTGTTCTCAAGCATTTATGGCCCAACAACCTTCTCTGTCTTGATCTTGAATTACATCTTCACCTCATCGACATGAACAATTGCACATGCTGGTCTCCTTACCTCTCTACTCTGCCTTCTCATGCCATTGTGTTGTGTGTTTTGTAACTTATTATTTAAATCATGACAAGACAATTGGAATGTTTCTAAGACTAAAATCTACTCTCTGCCCAACTACAACACACCCATAAAGTTAGAAACTTTCTCTGATTGTTCATTTGGGATTAGTTCTAGCAATGAAATGGTTAAACATTCCCGCTAAAAATGACTCTTCTTCAAGTCGGCATGGTATTTTTCCACATCCAAAAAGACTGGTCCAGGGTTTTGAAACAAAATGGTCCACTGTATTTGTAAGGTAGTTGCAGATTTTGATTGCACATCCAATTATGTTCTAATCTAATTATAATGAGTGTTTCACCGGGAGAGTGTCAATTTTGGACGACATTCCTTTGCTTTAAAATTGAAAGCTAGACATTAAATAGCTGGATAATGGAAAAGAATAAGATGCAGCTACAGATATAAATGACTAAATTGATTGAATTATTAGCAAGACTTTGGAACCTTATACTCAGAGACACATGGGAACCTTTCTGGCTTCTGGCCCCTTCATGGTTAAACTTTTTTTTTGGAACTTATGGAATCTTTCTAGCCCCTGAGGGTGAGGATCCCTAAAGTAACGCACTTTATGTGTGATTATAATGTTGTTTCTTCTAATACAAAAAGGAAAACCAAATCCATCCCTGATGGGGAGCTTTCTGTTCATACAATTTCTCTGCTCCATTTTTTTTCTATGGTAGTTTAACAGGTGTAAAAAAGTTGTTAACTGTTTAACTCTTACATGGTAGTTTAATTAGTTGAAGGCTTTCCTTTTTTACCGCTTACACAGCCGACAATAAAAAAGGATTATGGTAATTAAGTGTCTAGAGCTTTCTAAATTTGGTATATATCACCTCAGATGTGGTCCTCAAGAGGAAATATGGACAAGATGTTTGACAACTCAGTCATGTTAGGCTCCAGTTTTGAGTTGCTTCTTTGTGAAGCGCATTGAAAGTGGAGTGTTAAGGGCCTCAGGTTTAAATCACAAATATACAAGAAAAAGAAAGCTAGATTTGTAGCCTTCTAAGGATGTCATGGCAGAGGAAGCATTTGAAAACTGAAAAGTAACTTTCCTATGCACGCCTGAAGAAAGGTGCCCCTGCCTCTCTGCACACTGCAGACCAATTTGTTTGCAACAGCAGCCCAGCAACTTACACTTTTTGCCAAAAAAAAAAAAAACAATACTGTTAGAAACTAGTATGAAAACTAGTTAGAATGTATATACATTGTCCAGGAAGGTGGTTTTAATGCCAGGCTGCTCTCACTCTTAATCATACTTGAAAACACATGAAAAGATTTGACTTATGAACCCTATTAAAGAAGCAACTAGATCAACTTTTGGAATTAATCACTACTACAGATCAGGAAAAAATATTTAATCATACATGGTACTAGAGATTCTAGAGAATATTATGATCACACACTATATGTACTACCTTAATAACTATTAGATTTAATTCACTACATGAACAAAAGATGTGAGGCATGTGGTGAATGCGAACGAGACCGTGCTGCAAGAACATGCTGCCCTTGTACTCTTGAGTCAAAGCCCGTCAACTTATTAGGGGACGTCTCAGCTTGAAACCTTGTCGCTGGCACGAATGATTCTGGCCTGTTGCGGCGCATCATCTGTTGGTCAAAGTTGGTCTTCTCATGATGATATGTTTTGTGGGCATCTCCTGCAATTTTGACAGCTTTTTGGCTCTTACAACCCAATAGAGCCGCGGGACGATGCCTTGGAATCTCTTTGTTCATTCTTGTTTTGGCATTTCTGGTGTTGTTTGGAACCATTTTCATTGGACTTAGCCTTTGCAGATCTTCAGAGTCTGACGTCACAGAGAAATCAGCAACACTGGCAGTGGCCACACTCCACTCTATGCTTGCCTCACTTGGGGCATAACAAGTTGTTGGGGTCATGCATGGGTTGGCTTTGCCTGTGAGGCTCTCTATCTCAAAAAGATCTGAACTTGCATCACTATCTGACTCATTATTGTATATCACTCCACCAGAGTTTGCAGGAAACTCATCCCAAGGCAACATTGTTAGCCTTTTGTCAAGGCCTAGAGACCTGTTCCTTTTCTCAAACACAGGAGAACCAAACACCTCCAGAGATTTCCTCACTTTCTCTGCTTCTTCATCTTCTTGAAAAGGCATCTTCACTGGCAAACTCCCCATCCCAGGTTTTGAAGATGGGAAAGTAAAACAGTTTTCTCTGCTCAACCCAACTCCCAACTTATCAAGCTTTTGGCTGTTGTTCATCTCAACAAGAGCTTCACCAACAAGGTCTACTACAGCTGCAGGTTTATTGTTAATGGGGCTTGTTGTGCTTGCTTTGCCATGGACTAATGTTCCACTGTTAGCAGCACCATTATTCTTCTTGAAACTGATTTCACCAACATGTTCATCGACATCAACCGAATTCTTATCCGAACAAGAGCATTTGCAACCAAGGCTCGCAAAAAAATTCTTCTTCTGTCTCTGTGCCCTGCTTGTATTACTCTGATAAGGATTTCTCAACCGGCTTTGCAATAGAGAAGTTTGGCTGTTCCAACTTGTTTCAGAACGAACACTTGGAGTTCCAGGTTGAACTCGTTTCTCTTTGTTATGATGGTAATTCTTTGAGCTGCTGCCGCTTTTTGGGCTAGTCTCCTCGTCCATTACTCCATTGAAGTACTTTTCAGCTCCAAATACTCCAATTTCTTCATCTTCTTCCTTCTTTGTTCCCAAGTGATTGTTATGTTCCTCACTTGACTGATCAACAAGTTTACGTACAAGGGTTTCCTCATTGCTACTCAAGTATGAAGAAAAGGAGGCATCACGGTTCTTGTTATTGTCACAGGGAAACGTTTGTGAGAGGTTGGCCTTGCTAGTTGATTTGAAGGTAACCATAGCCATAGAGACCTCAAATTTTCCAAAGAAACTTTATGCAACAAAAAGAAGAGAAAAATGAATTTGTGTCTAGAGGCTAGGGAGAAATTAGATAGGAAGCACACAAAACTACAAAAAGAAAAGGAAAAAGACCCAACAATAGAAAATTTTGGAAATATCAAAGAGAAGAATGGTACACAAGTTTTGATGATGTATATGGAATAACAAGATCTCTAGACTCTAGCTGCAGAGATAAGAACAACTATTCAAATTCAAAAAAGTAGTCTGTTAAGATCCCCTCAGGTACTAAGGTGAAAGAAACTCAACATGGAGGAGCTTTGATTATTGTCTGCTACAAAAAAAGAGGAATTGGATTGAAGCAAAAAAAATGAGGTTGATGAATTCAGAGAGGCTTAGATAAGATAAGGCTTGATTTGCTAGTTGAGAATTCTAGTTCTATATGCAGGCTCATCATGGAACGTGCAAAGTTGTTCATTAAGAGGGTAGGGCCAATGTGCCTTGGGCCTAATTGACATATTGTCATTTTTTATCACGAGGAAATTTTCATTGATAAGATTTTCTTAACATTATCCGACTCACATTTCCATCAAGTCTGTCAAATAGTACGTAAATGTTGGTTCGTTTTCATATTTGTGGATGTGATAACAAGGTGCTTTAAATTTCATTTAAACATCTTAGATTAGGTGTGAACAAAATTATCTTATATAGATACAAGTTTACATCAACTTGATGGGATCCAATCCAATAATACCAAAGAAATTTTCAACTTCTGATTTTCTCTCTAAAAGGAGAGATGAGATATGACTACCAACTTGACCTATGAGGAGGGCCATGACCCAAATATGAGAAAAATAATTATTTTACAGCACCTAAAATTGATCTGTCATACAAGTAAAAAAAAAGTAAAGCCATTTAAAAGAAAAGAAAATAGAACCCATCCTCCTTCCTTTGTTATAATAGTTTAAGACACAAATTCTTTGTCGTCTCAATATCTAGAGACAGATTGCAGTGTCTTCTGAAGTCTGAACACCATTGATCTGTCAAGTTTTTCTGATGAGTTGGAGAATTATGCATCAATAATTGAGGCATACAATGAAAAGTTGCAAACAGTGCCGGTTTGGTTATTTATGGTTATGGACTCAGGTAAGTTAACCAGACCAGACTAGCATCCTAATTCTTGAAATTCTAAATCATTTATAAGAATTGAAGAACATATGAAAGGATATGAACACTACACGCATTTATTGCCTTCATGCTTGAATTTCTAACCAACACATCTCATTCGTTCCATCCCATCACAATCTATACCATAAATTGCCTCCTTGTTGGCTTGTGTCTTTGATTTTATGTCCACACAAAACTTTACCATTTAAGTCCAAGACCTCCTTCTCGACACCAAGTGGTCAGATTTAAGCAGCTTTCTTCCATGCCGATTTTGCATCGATTCATTCATGCACTTCATATTGATATGACAAGCATTCATTATCATATACAAACCACGGGAAAACTAAATCCTAGTGGCTTCGAAATGCTATAACTAAAGTATTAGCTAATCTATAATTTAAAAAACAAAACGAAACAAAACAAAACCCAAGAGCGTGTTGAGTTTTGAGAGGAAGGAAACTGAATGAAACGAATAAATAAACTATCATTAAACTCTGCAGGCTGCAAATCATACTGAGAATTTTGAGAGTCAACTAAGGAGGCTAGTATTTGCTCAAATGTTTGGCCTCAGCGGCGTACAAGACAATAAAGGGATTTTAGTAAAATGAATGATACTGTAAACCATACAAGCATATCTTTGTAGCTCTGTCTACTTGTAAATCACTACGAAGGAGAATGGCCAAAGACAGATAGCAAACATAGGTTGTGTAAGCCCTCCTCCCTATGAAGTATATGAAGTACTCGGGCAGCAAAAGTGCTCACTGGAAAAATACACATCCGTGTTAGGACTTGTAACAGAGAACATTGCCAGCTTAGATCCACGCGAAGGCCTCGAAGCTTTTCTTTACGGCATTCATTGTGTGGAGGTGGAGTTCCCACCTGCAACCCAGTACTGCTTGACAGCAACCAATACCTTCTCTGGAACAAGGGGACCATCCTCGTGGTCCACCATTTTAGTATCCCATCTCATCCCTCCAACTATCTTCTTCACCTTAATCAATACATCCACTTCATCACGGAATACGACGGCACCTTCTGGCCGCAAAATTCGGTCCATCTCAATAAGAATGTCTTCCCAATCACATCTGCAATATATTTAGATACAGCTTGTGAGTAGAAGGAAAGAAGAAACAAAGCATTGAATTGATTTAGCATAAGAAACAATCTGGAATGGAAGTGGGTGATTCTACGTCTACTATTGCAAGTATGGCCATCCCAATCACTACTTAACGGCTACCACTCATCTTAGACATACATACACTATTGCTCATCATTGCAGTCGGATTCTTATTATGACTAGTTAATAAATAGTTGGTATTAGATGTACATATACTATCATAACCAAAAGAGTCATTACACCTCAAACTAAAAGGCTTTATGCAGTTTTGTCTTTAAGCAAAGTGCTCAGGGGAACGACTCAACTTTGTACCATATGAAGACCACATTGGATCCAGAAAAATGCATAAAGTTAGAGGCCCAAGATTGAAAGAAGCTAAACAGGTTTAGAATGTCACTGGGATTGAGCTAAATGAGCTTAACATTATCAAGGTCAATCCATGCTTACTGAAACAGCCAGATAATCAGCTTAACACCTCTGTCTATGTATTGAGCCCAAGTACTGTTTTTTTTCTTTTTATATTATTTATAAGAAACTGTAACCAAATATCTCATTGGATACTGATTACAGAAAGGCATTTGTGGATTGAGCCAAGGCTTTCTTCAATAGAGTACAAAGATCAATGCGCTCTTCTTGTAAACTGTGTTCATACCAACATCTGAACCCTCCCGTGAAGATTAAAAGCACACTTAAGAAAGCCTAGGAATAAATGATTAATGAAGATATACTACTTACTTGCCATCGTACAAACTGAAAATACCATGGGCATGAATGAGGTCATATGTCCTTGGGTAAGTAGAGAAACCTTCACACCTGAAATAGCATCACCAGAAAAGAATAAATGATTTACAAATGACCAACATTGGTGACAGATGGGCTATGCTCCAGGGCTTATTTAGCACATAATAGTACACAGAACCTGAAAAAATGGAGGCAACATTTCTTTTACGTCAACCTATTTAGACAGACTACTTCTGTGACACTTTTTTGAAGTTTAACACAAATCTTCAGCTACCAAAAGACATTTTTAGCAGTAAAGGAATTACTAATAGGTATCTTGAAAGCACATACTCCAGAAAGCATGTAATATAATTGAATGGTAAATGAAGGAATTTCCACATAATTTGCTAAAAGGACGCTTTAGAGAAACAATTATCAGATAGGTGGGAGAAGTTCAGAATAGGGTACCAGTCATGATATATTCCAATCAATCCTCGCTCATATATAACACCCAGCGTATTTTTCTCAGCTATTGTGGGCACAACATTCATGACCCACAATTTTGGAGATTCAAGTGCTGCAGCAAAACCACCCAAACCAGCATTCATATCCATAATGTTACGATACCTTCCTGAGTCAATTAGTTTATTGATTCTCCTATATGCATTTACATGCTTCTTCCATTTGTTGTTATCCTCCTCGTAGGCCTCAACAGAAACTCCAGGAACAGACCCACTAGCGATTCTAGGAGGTACAGCATAAAGCCTTTTTGGAAATGGCTCCAGCTCCCCACCAGCAGCTCCATCTGCATTGTTGCTGTCAGGATATGGAGTTATGCATGCCTCCATTTTCTTATACCTGATACCCATCACAATGAAGACAAATTAAGAAAATAAACGTATATCTATGTTAAGCGGATAAGCAAAGCTCAAAACTGAGAGTCTGGCCCTTTTGATGCAAAATTTAAAACTAAAATTTATATAGCAAGGTTTTTTTAATGCAGATGATAACGAACCTTGTGCTACTACTAAAGTTTTAATGTACTAATATCTGAATACCATTAACATTGATTCAAAAGTGGTCGCAAATTGAGAACACAAATTGGATGCCTGTAAAGTTATAAAGGGAGAAACTATTGATCAATTTCTTTTGTCAATAAATAACTGAATGAAGGCCTGCCATTTAAAAAGAATGACAAACACAATGTAAAGTACAGGAAAATACCAGACGGCATCTGCTTCATCAGATTTGCAAAAGGTAGCATGGGAGCCATCTTTTCTGTCTCCACATGAATCAGTATTTACCCTCTTCTGCCAAATGGCAGTTTCACCCTTCTCAGACTTCTTCTCCCAGCAAAGAAGTTTAGCAACTTCTTCGATCTTTCTCTGTTCCTCCTCAAGCTCCTCCCTCGGACGCTGCCATGATTTGTAATTATTCCTCCAATTGATTGGAGGACCCGAAAGCACCCAATAACCCCCAGGCCTAAGAACTCGGTCAACTTCCATGAGATATTTTCCATCTGTGCATAAAAAGATAAAAATTTAATGTCACAAATGACTACTGTTTATTAGACATCAACAATTCATACCAAGTAGAAGTGTTTTGAGTTTGGTGTATCTAATTCTTACCATTTACTCCCCATGGAATCAAACAACGAGAACAGTGAGCCATGTCAAACGCTCTGGATGGATATGGCAGCTTTATTGTTCCCAGAACACCAATAACTGCAGGTACACCCCTTTCAAGAGCAAATTGGACCTGTGCCTCATGGGAATCTCTGGGTGCAAACGACATGGCAAGAACATTTCTACTCAACAAGTACGCACCCCAACTGGCAACCTGAGCAAAATATACCATTGTTACATCATATGGATCACACATATAGAAGAACGTGTTAAATTTCCTCTCAAGAAGAGAAAGTGAAAATAAAAACAGATGGAAACAGGTGAACTGGTGGAACACAACATACCCCACAACCAGTGTCCAGTGCAGTTCTAACTGTCCCATTCTTTATTGGTATCACAGAAGCAAGCTGATCAATATACTTATCTGCCCCTTGAGGAAACTGTGTTCCTCCACCAGGGAACCTAAACACTTTACCCTCATATTGGATCCAGTTCTGGACAGCCTTTTCAACAGTCAAGCTCTTATAGGGTGCATTCGCATATGGTACATAGTCACGGCTCTTTGGCCAGGGGAATGGAGTTACATATCCCTTTGGTGCTGGAATAAGGCAATGTAACTTCTCTTCCTCCGGAGGGCAATGTCTCTCTCGATAATTCATATCGTCCCTTGGGAATGTCATTGCACGCTTCTGATCTTGGCATGGGGTGTAATCAGTGTAACGAGGATGACATGGTTTGAAAACTTTGGGC